TTATATTGGAAAGTGTTTATAAAGTTAGTATATTACTGATGTCATGGCCTATGGCTAGTACAATAAACAATTCATTCAATACAGTCTCCCTCTTTTCCTACTGCCTTCCATTTTTCCAAGCATATTATCTTTCCGGATGGGTCATGTCCTCTCGTGATGAGTCGAAAGATTGACAGTCTCGCTTTAGCCATCCTTTAGTAAGAGTTCAGTTTGATTTGATTTCCTCTAAGACTTGACATTTTAGCCATCCATGCTATGTTTATAAGTCTTCTCCAGCATTACTGTTGCTGGATCCTAACTCCTATTAATAACAGCTTAGCCCAGGGGTCCTCAAACTTTTTAAACAGAGGGCCAGGTCACAGTCCCTCAAATTATTGGAGGGCTGGATTATAATTTGGAAAAAAAAATGAATGAATTCCTATGCACACTGCACATATCTTATTTGTAGTGCAAAAACCACTTAAAAACAATAAAAAAATAATATGAAAAACAATTTTAACAAATATAAATTTATTATTTATTATTTATTTATTTCGAGTACTTCTACCCCGCCCTTCTCAACCCCCAAGGGGGGACTCAGGGCGGCTTACAAAAAAGGCACCATTTGATGCCTGTACAAAATACACATACGTACAAAACAGCAGTTAAAAACAATTATCACAGTTAAAATAGTCGTTATATAACACAATCAATAAAATTAATCTCATGGTCAGCGTTCGTCTTTCAGAGTTCCATAATTCCATTCCACTTAGTCAATTCCTGTCCATCGTCAAGATCCTTTCTTTATCTGCCAGACTGTCTGAATGCCTGGTCCCAAATCCATGTTTTCAATTTTTTCCTAAAGGCAAGGAGGGATTTCGCTGATCTAATTTCCCCGGGGAGTGAATTCCACAGGTGAGGGGCCACCACCGAGAAGGCCCTGCTCCTCGTCCCCGCCAGCCTCACTTGTGATAAGAGGCGGAGTCGAGAGCAGGGCCTCTCCAGACGATCTTATGACTCCAAGGTGGGATGTAGAGGGAGATCCGTTCGGACAGATACACTGGGCCGGAACCGTATAGGGTTTTGTAGGTCAAGAACAGCACTTTGAATTGTGCTCAGAATTGGATCGGCAGCTAGTGGAGCTGACACAACAGGGGGGTGGTGTGCTCCCTGTATGACGCTCCTGTGAGTACTCTGGCTGCCTCCCGCTGGACTAGTTGGAGTTTCCAAACAGTCTTCAAAGGCAACCCCACGTAGAGTGGGTTGCAGTAATCTAATCAGGATGTAACAATAGCGTGGACCACCGTGGCCAGATCCGACTTCCCAAGGTCGGATTAGTATTTCAATGGGAAATGTGGGCCTGCTTTTGGCTGATGAGATAGGGTTGTTGTTGTGTGCTTTCAAGCTTTAGGTTGACCCTGAGCAAGGGCTGGATAAATGACCTTGGAGGGCCGTATCCGGCCCCCAGGCCTTAGTTTGAGGACCCCTGGCTTAGCCCATGGTGAGTGATGCAGAAATAGCTTTAAAGTGTCACAAGTTCCCAACCCCTTTCACCACTATGGGAATGCATGCCTTGCTCTTGGCTAACGTCAAAAGTTCAAGAAGAGATGGTTCACCTTATTTCATTCTGCCCCTGGTATCGTTAGCAGGGCAGATCTCCCTTTTTAAAAAGGTTAAATCAATTACACATATGCACAGCCCCTACCAACAAAATGTCAGGGAGCATTTACTTTCGTCAAGTTATGTTACTACGTCTTCCCACACACTCATAGAATATGCCTGACAGAAGTTCAAGAGCTTTTTATATTCTGCACATGCCAACTACAGTGGCAATCAAAGACAGAAAACAGTGGGAGAAGAATGTTTTTCTCCTTGCCGAGCTCTTGCTGCAAACCCTGAAGCTCTCTCTCTTTCTCTCTCTCTCTCTCAATCTTGAAGAATCTTAGCAACAAGCCTCGTGTTTGATTACAAGAACTATGTAATTTAGAGGTAAGAGCTTGAGAGACACGACAGCATCACTCTTTAGACAAATAAAGATGGAAGCAGAGGTTAAATAATCAATTTTAAAAAATAATCTGTTTGACATTTTCCTGGTGAATGATTTGGCAATAAAATACTTAGCATTGCCAAAGGCTGAAATGTTTTTTGAACTGATAGGTTGGCAGAAGCTGGGGCTAACAGTGGGAGCTCACCCCTCTCACCGGATTTGAACCGCCAACCTTAGTTCAGCAAGTTCAGCAGNCATGTTTAACTTGTTGTCCACGAGGACTCCAAGATCTTTTTCACACGTCCTGCTCTCGAGCCAGGCATTGTCGTCCCCCATTCTGTCTCTTTGCATTTAGTTTTTCCTGCCTAAGTGGAGTATCTTGCATTTGTCACTGTTGAACTTCATTTTGTTAGTTTTGGCCATTCATCTCTCTAATCTGTGGAGATCCCTTTGACTCCTGCTCCTGTCCTCTGGAGTCTTGGCTCTCCCTCCCAATTTGGTGTTGTCTGCAAACTTGATGATCCTGCCTTCTAACCCTTCATCTAAGTCATTAATAAAGATGTTGAACAGGACCGGGCCCAGGACAGAACCCTGCTGATGGCACTCCACTCATCACTTCTTTCCAGGATGAAGAGGAAGCATTGGTGAGCACCTTCTGGGTTCGTCCATTTAACCCATTACAGATCCACCTCACCGTAGTTTTGCCTAGCCCACATTGGAGATTTATTTATTTATTTATTTACTCCATTTGTATACCGCATATATCAGCCTGCGACGGCGACTCAATGCGGTTTACAGTAAAAAGGCAACACTGACAATAGATAAGACGTACATACACAAACAACACACACAGTCATCAACGCCTCAATTAGAATCAGATCCCGTTCTCATAGTCCTTTTTCGTTCCTTGTTCAATGCCGTCTTACTGAGTTAGTTGTCATTGCATAGTTGTCCAAACGCCTGCTCATAGAGCCACGTCTTAACCCTCCTCCGAAACACCAGCAACGAAGGGGCCTGCCTGATGTCCACTGGTAGGGCATTCCATAGCCGAGGGGCCACCACTGAGAAGGCCCTGTCTCTCATCCCCGCCAACCGTGCCTGCGACGCCGGTGGGACCGAGAGCAGGGCCTCCCCGGACGATCTTAAAGTCCTCACCGGTTCATAGTAAGGTGCTAGCTTTTCACCATAAAAAGGCATTTCTTTAAGATAATAATAGTGGTAGTAATAGTCGTAGTAGTAGTAAATGATGATGATAACAATAATAATAATAATCATCATCATCATCATCATCATCATCATCATCATCTTTATTTGTACACCGCCACCATCTTCCCAAAGGGATTCGGAGTGACTAACAAAGCACTCAAGCTGCCACACATAAAACAGAATTATGTATCATCAAAACAATACACAATTTGACTGGATAAAAACAATGGACAACATCAATTGATAAAATTTAAAAATTTAAAAATTCTAAAACACAGTCATACCTGTGAGTCATTGGGTTTCTTCAAACATGAACTAAAGTGCTGAATAACTATGGTCGACGTCATCACATGACCATAGTACATTACTCCAGGTCAAAGGCCCATGTAAATAGTGATGTTTTTTAGGCTCAAAGGGAAGGTTTTGAAATTTGAGACTAATCTAATCTCCCTAAGAAGGGAATTCCAGAGCTAGGGAGCCACCACTGAGAAAGCCCTCTCTCTCGTTCCCACCAATCACACTGTGACGGTAGTGGGACTGAGAGAAGGGCCTCCCCAGAAAATCTTAATATCTGCAAGATATACTGTACAGTAAGAAGATAAGGCCAGATATATGAGTCAAATCACACCTGGCTAGTATATTAAGAGTACAAAGCTGGAAGGAGCGGCTTAAGGAGCTGGGCATGTTTAGCCTGAAGAAGAGAAGGCTGAGAGGAGAAATGATAGCCATGTATAAATATGTGAGAGGAAGCCACAGGGAGGAGGGAGCAAGCTTGTTTTCTGCTTCCTTGGAGACTAGGACACGGAACAATGGCTTCAAACTACAAGAGAGGAGATTCCATCTGAACACGAGGAAGAACTTCCTGACTGTGAGAGCCGTTCAGCAGTGGAACTCTCTGCCCCGGAGTGTGGTGGAGGCTCCTTCTTTGGAAGCTTTTAAACAGAGGCTGGATGGCCATCTGTCAGGGGTGATTTGAATGCAACATTCCTGCTTCTTGGCAGGGGGTTGGACTGGATGGCCCATGAGGTCTCTTCCAACTCTTTGATTCTATGATTCTATGATTCTAAGGAGAGACACAGAAAGGGGGATTGTTTTTGTAGTCATAATCCCACTGTCCCTGCTTCCTACAAGCCTTCATGGGAGTCAATGTGATGTTGTGGTTGGCGTGGTAGCCTAAGGCCAAGGTGGCCAGGGTCAAATCTTTGCTCAGCCACAGCACTCCTGATCTTCTTTGGGCTGCTTACCCTCTCTCAGCTTAACTCATCTCATAGGGTCATTGTGAGGACAAAGCAGAGAGAACCACATATATCAGTAGTAAACAAATACAAGACCACAGCACATACTTCCATTTCCCTAACCTCAGCAATGTGTTTGCAAAACATAGCATGAATTTCAAGTTTAGACTTAGATCCTATTTTCAAGATATTTGATTAAATACATGCAATCATTCCAAAATAAAATTTAAAAAACAAAAACAAAATTTAAAAAATCTTATGCTATTTTTGGTCCCAAGAATTTCAACTGCCTAGATTTTTTTCAACTGATGAATTTGGAGGGCTTGTTTTGGTACAGATCAGCCCAAATTTGACTCTACACTAGACTTTCTGTTGCCAGCACCCTCCAGAGCAGTGGTTCTCAACCTGTGATCCCCAGATGTTTTGACCTTCAATTCCCAGAAATCCTAACAGCTGGTAAACTGGGTGGGATTTCTGGGAGTTGTAGGCCAAAACACCTGGAGACCCACAGATTGAGAACCACTACTCCAGAGTTATTCTAGTTTGATTTTGGTCATCACAGCCCCAAATCAGTCACGGAGCAGATCACATACCTTCATGTTTTAGTGCAGATTTGGCATGGCCTATCGCTTCCCATGGTGATGGGATGTCCAGGAAGACGGCATCAGCAACATCGTTGACGCCAAACCCATTTTTGCAGACATCTTGGTTCTTCACTGTCACCAAATGATCGACCTTGTGTTCTCGAAACTCCTCAATGGCCTTCTCAGCTCTCTGTTGATGGAACTCCACTGTATACAGATGCCCTGTTGGAGCAATGGTCCGGATGATTGCATGCGATAGGGAACCACTTCCAGTACCTAGAAAGAAAAAAACAGCCACTGAAAGAATGGCTTCTCTGGGTGCAAATAAAGAAGGGCACATGGCCGCTGCATATGATCCCCACAGTCTACAGCAAGCGCCTGTAGAAGAAATATCACCAGATCTCTGAACACTGGCAAGAGATTGGGGACGCTTCCTATTTAACATTTGGGCGAGGAACTCTTGTCACTGGGTGAGGCAGATTCCAAACCCTGCAACCCTTTGCAGCCTGTATACTGCTATCAGATGTGGCCACTAGAAACGTAAAGGATGTTCACAGATTTTCTTGTCTAGCACCTTCCCTATCCTCTTTTCCCAAAAATATAAAGACATGGATGTTCCACTGTGCGTTTGATTAAACAATTCCCTTGATAATTGGCCCTAGTTAGGACCCAACAATTTAGACCACACACTTTACTACTGTTGTATCCAAAACTAGAATGATCCTTCTTATATTTCTCCTATCCTTAACATTGCTATATGACTCTATGCACTTTACACATAAGCCCTATCCTCTGAATTGTTATGCACCAGTCCATCTACCCATTTCGAGTCTTGAATTATGCTATTGTTGTTGGTTTTGATGCTTGTTTCATATTTTGTTATAATGTTGCTTAATGTTGTTTTAAATTGATGTTATGCATTCTAATGTGCTATGTTTTAACTCTGTTGGTTGGGCTTGGCCCCTTGTAAAGCATCCTGAGTCCCTTCGGGGAGATGGAGGCGTGGTATAAGAATAAAATTATTATTATTTGAAACACAACAAGATGAGTCCACAGCAAACAAGATCACTCTGCTGGCTGTTGTATTGGATCACACGTCAGACACTTCCCAAGTGTCTAGGACTATGTGATGTATCAGCGAATAATGCGTGCAGATCCCAGTAGGGTGGCCTTTTGCAGCTGACAGATGGTAATTTTGTCAGTGCCAATTGTGTTTAAGCGCAGGCCAAGGTCTTTAGCCACTGCACCCTGTGCGCCGATCACACTGGGTGCAGATCACATTAGCCTCTCTTGTCGAAGAGCCATCAGCCTCTAGAACCATCTTTCATCTGCTTCTGCTTTGTCCGCAAACAAGTTGGGGTGGGCTAGTAAGTATGTGTGTGTGTGTAGTGAATACTTGCATGTATTCACACACACACACACACACACACACACATATATGCTGTTTGTTTTGAGTGACATCATAACTAAAATAAATGCTGGACGAATTGCTACCAAATTTGGCCACAAAATTGATTTTGACATTTGGGAGTTATAGTTGCAGGGATTTATAGTTCACCTACAATCTGAACTCCACCAACGATGGAATTGAACCAAACTTGGCACACAGGACTCCATGACCAACGGAAAACACTAGAAGGGTTTGGTGGGCATTGACCTTGAGTTTTGGAGTTGTACTTCACCTACATCCAGACAGTACTGTGGACTCAAACAATGATGGATCTGGATCAAACTTGGCAGGAATACCCAATTTGCCCAAATGTGAACACTGGTGGAGTTTGGGGAAAATAGACCTTGACATTTGGGAGTTGTAGTTGCTGGGATTTCTAGTTTACCTACAATCAAAGAGCATTCTGAACCCCACCAATGACAGAATTAGGCCAAACTTCCCATACAGAACCCGCATGACCAACAGAAAATACTGTTTTCTGGTGGTCTTTAGCGACCCTTTTGACACCCCATCACAACCCCCCTCTCCCCTCTGGGGCCCAACCTCCTGGTTGAGAAATGCTGCCTTAAGGTCATCCAGCCCAACTCCCTTCACAAGGGGAATAAAACACAATCAAAGCCCTCCTGACAAAGAGACATCCAGCCATAGATATAGCTAGATAAATATGATTCACATACATACATGAATATGTATATGACAGATATAGTATCATAGATTTGAAAGGGACCCCTAAAGAAGAAAATACAGTGTTGATGTAGAGACTGTTTGGTTTGCCTCCTCTGGAACATACAACAGTCTCTACATCAACACTGACAAAAAAACAACAACAAGAATTACTGTTTACTCACAAGCATAAAGAAATTACATATATTAGAAACCCCAACACTTTCTCATTACTTTATTTTCCAGATTACCAGACTGTGGGGCCACAGCAACGTGTGGCAGGGGACTGCTAGTTGTTGTTGTTGTTATTATTATTTGAAACACAACAAGATGGGTCCACAGCAAACAAGATCACTCTTCTGGCTGTTGTACTGGATCACATGTTGGACACTTCTCAAGTGTCTAGGACTGTGTGATGTATCGGCAAATAATGTGTGCAGATCCCAGTAAGGTGGCCTTCTGGTAATTTTGTCAGCACCGATTGTGTTTAAGTACAGGCCAAGGTCTTTAGGCACTGCAGCCAGTGTGCCGATCACCACTGGGACCATCTTGACTGGCTTGTGCCAGTGTCTTTGCAATTGTTGCTGTTATTATTGTTGTCTTTGAGAAAAGGTATCTCAAAAACATGAAGCTCAGCCCTGAATACATGCAAGTAATCACTACATTCATTTAATTTGATCTGTGCAAATGAAAGACAATTTCATTTTTTGTGTTTGCAGAATGGCCCTAAATTTCCAACCATCATCATATTTGCTCCAGGCACAGTCAGCCCATTGTATGCTAATCAAGGTGGTCAGTTGAAACATTCACACCTAGCTCCAGCAGACAAGAGTCCTTTGTCCCACCCTGGTCATTCCATAGATATATAAAATCTTTTTCCTAGTTCCAACAGACCTCACTACCTCTGAGGATGCTTGCCATAGATGCAGGCGAAACGTCAGGAGAGAATGCCTCTAGACCATGGCCATAAAGCCCGAAAAAACCTACAACAACCCAGTGATTCCGGCCATGAAAGCCTTTGACAATACACCATCATATTTATCATGGAAAGAATCTGAGTTTTTTAAAAATATGAATGTGGAGACAATGAAGCACAGATTTCCCCATTTTGCATTCTACCTCCTTCCCAAAATGCACGTCTGTTTCACAAGAGGAACGACAAGGCTTCTGTAACTTCACCCCACACAACTCGCTGAGTGCAGTATTAGCCATCGATCGTGTTGCATGATAACAGCAGCAACCGCTCATGAGACCAGCTCAATCTGCAGAAGAATCTCATTAGAAGGCTCGGTTGCGTGACTAGGGACTTTTAGCATCCCAGGGAGTGTACCGATTTTTCTTACTTCCCAGAGGATTAACTTGCTCTCACTCTGGGTCTGTTGCTATTCCACGCCAGAATCAAACCAAAGGGGCATCAACGCGCAGGGTCAGGGAGAGGCAAAGGCAACAGCTTTGCACACATATCCATTTCCCCCTCGTCAATATTCTGCTTCATTTTTAATCATCTGCCTTTGAAAATCTGTTCCTAAACCACTAGGGAAGAGGCTGTTCTTCTCTTTCCTTTCTAGGAACCCCCATTAAAATTGGTTTTGGCCCACTGCCTGGTCTTTGGGATTAATCACAAACTCTGCGTATTTGCCAACCCTGGAATCTTGATGGTGCTTTCAAATTTATAATTTCTTTTAATGGCAGGCACTTGTGGTTCTTACCAACAGGACAAACCCTTATGAGAGCAGGAGGAAACCTACTATATTGCCATCAAGAAGGTGCATTGAAAATATATATTAGAGCAGTGGTTCTCAACCTTGCTAATGCCGTGACCCCTTAATGCGGTTCCATATGTTGTGGTGACCCCCAACCATATTGTTTTCATTGCTACTTGATACCTGTTATTTTACTACTGTTATAAATCGTAATATAAATATCTGATATGTAGGATGTATTTTCATTCACTGGACTAAACTGAGCACAAATACCCAATATGCCCAAATGTGAATGCTAGTGGGGTTGTGGGGAGGATTGATTTTGTAATTTGAGAGTTGTAGTTGCTGGTATTTATAGTTCACTTATAATCAAAGAGCATTCTGAACTCCACCGATGATGGATTTAAACCGAACTTTGCACACAGAACTCCCATGACCAACAGAAAACACTGGAAGGGTTTTGTGAGCATTGACCTTGAGTTTGGGAGTTGTAGTTCACCTATACCCAGAGGAGTGCTATGGATTCATGCAATGATGGATCTGGACCAAACTTGGCACGCATACTCAATATGCCCAAATGTGAACACTGGTGGAGTCTCGGGAAAATAGATCTTGACATTTGGGAGTTGTGGTTGTTGGGATTTATAGTTCACCTACAATAAAAAAGCATTCTGAACTTGACCAACAATAGAATTGGGTCAAACTTCTCACACAGAATCCCAATGACCAACAGAAAATACTATGTTTTCTGATGGTCTTTGGCGACCCCTTTGACACCCCCTCACGACCCCCTCAGGGGTCCCGACCCCCAGGTTGAGAAACACTGTATTAGAGCATAGCTAAGAACATAAGAAAGGATCCTGCCAGTTCCACAAGTGGTGACAAGAGCTCTTTGGCTTCTGGAGAGAGAAATGAGCTCTCGCTGCCAACGCTATTTCTTCCATTGTTGTGCTACAGAATGTTTATGAATGTCTCAGAATGCCAGGAACTGCTGACATGATAGATGTTAATAGGGCAAAGAAAATGGAAGAATAAGAAATGTTTGTTAGAAACACAAGCAAGTGTCAGCAGAGTATGTCAAATGCAATTTTGAGTGACAGCAATCAAAAGACCTCCAAGTCTCTGTAATAAACAGCCTTGCTCAAGTCCTGCAAGCTCAGAGTTGTGGCTTTCTTGTCTATCCATTTGTAATTCAATCTTCCTATATTTACTGATTTCTATCTTGTTGTTACGTGCCTTCAAGTAATTTCTGATCTATGGTGACACCAAGGAGGCCGTGTCACAATATTTTCTTTTCAAGATTTGTTCAGAAGCGGCTTGCCATTCATTGCCTTCCTCCAAAATGGAGAAAGCTTGACATGTCCAAGGTGACCCACTAGGTTTCCATGGCCGACTGGATATCCAAATCTCATTCTCCAGAGTCCTAACACAATGTTCAAACCACTTCACCAAACTAAATC